CCATTCTTAACTTGCGGTGTATACAAAAATAGGCATCAGGCCAGATTGGGCCTGGTCTAGTGGCAGTGCCACTTCTACAAGGGCTGGGTAACTTTTTTACTCCATCATAGTCCAAAGGAAAACTCGCTAAAGATGGTTTAGTTTTCCCATACAACACATTCAAAACTTTAAGGATCATCATTACGTCTATGATTTTCCATTGCACATCTGAAAGGTTGTCCCACTTTATTAGCTGGTCCATTGAAAACTATTTTAAGATTTTACAGTGACTTTTTCACTTCTCATTACGAAAAAGTATATATAAAATAATGTATAGGGGTTAAAAGATGAAACCTGGATGTAGGAAGCATGAGTTCTGTTCCTAGTTTGGGGGATCAGTACTTTGACTAGATAAATAACTTGACTGCTTCACATATCATTTTCTTTGTCTGGAAAGTCAAAATTGCCAGGTGTTGTTACTAAGCAGTTATATTAAATGTTAAAGGAGATGGAGGGGAAAATTATGCTTATATCTTCTGAAGTAGCCACATTTTCAGAAAAATGTATGTTGTTTTTTATGCCATAATATACAACAGAAAAGATGAATACCTCTGAAGAGGAATCTAGTGGTGATTTGTTCTGAACATTTGGGGTAGAAGAAAATTTAAACTCAAGAGCGAGATCATGCAAACTATAGCACAAAATACACATATGTAAAATTTCATGGTTTTCCTATGTGCCTACTATTACCAGGAGAGGTTTAGTTTAGGGGTCTGTAAAAATGTTTGCTTCCTCTAAGTATAATGCTCTGAGCCAAGACATCATCAGTTCCAGGCTAAGTCAGTTCCAGTTGAAAGTGTGAATGTTCAGCAAGAGGATATTTTTGAAAGGAGACTGAAAATCCGCTGTGCCAGATACCTGAAACGTTGTTAGGGTATTCAGTGGAAAATTTCATTTCCACATTATAAATAACTGTAGGATATTTTAAGGGATCCAAGACTAGTAACTTCCAAGAGCTGCTTATATTAGTTCCACTGAAATGTGAAATGGAGGGAGGATGCCCAAGGAAGGCTATAAAGCTGAATTACCGGATATGATTAATTAAAATAAATAATTCACCATTGATTAAATCGCCCCTAAAATCCCCAGTCAAGGTACTCAACCTTTGAGGCCTTCATATTTTGCTATCCACCAAGTAAAACAAAGAAAGGACAAAACAGCGATAGAGAAAGACAGAGGAAAGTCCCCAAGATGATTACTTAAATTCAAACTGCCCTAGAATTTCTTATTCAAAAAAGCCCATCTGGTCGCCCATATTTGAAATCGTGCCTGTTACTTAGCGTCTTTTCTGGAAGTTTCCCGTTCTGTGGACTTCCTGGGAGGAGAAGGAAAACCCTAGAGAAGGCGGCATATCACCTACAAGGGTAGTTACTGAATTTCTATCTCCCTTTGACCACAGAAATAATCCACTTCCTGTAACTTCTTCCCTCCTTTGCAGCCCCCACACATTTAAAAACAAAACAAGTCAGAGATCTTTGTTAGACAGTGGTACAACGTGCCCAAAATAAAACTGCCCCGCTAAAAGGCAAAAAAATAAAAGAACGAAATAAAAGATTCGAGTGTGTGTGAGTTGCGTATGTGTATTTATAAGTGTCAGAGTGTGGATGTGCGAGAGTGCGCGTCCGAATGCATGTGAGTGGGTGTGTAAGGTAGCAGAGTAATGGATGCAGTCTGGTCTTTTTTTGATGGGTAAGCCTGGCTTCCCTCGGCGGGTCGGCCGCGTGCAGCTCGGGAAGAGTCGACCCCCGTGCGCTCAGGCGGCGCGGCGGTGCCCGGGGTTAGAGCTCTCCCCTGTGACCGAAAAGATAATTAAAAATCGCACGCGCAGCAGACAGCTTGGTTCCTCGCTGTGCATCAAGTTCGCCGGGATAAGGGGGTCCTCGCACCCCGGCGGCGCCCGGGCCTGGAAGCCAGGTGGCCAGGGGCGAGGAGTAGGTTGAGGAGGGGGTGTCATAGCGGGTGATGCAGAATGCGTCACCGAGGGTGGCAGGCGGCCGTGGGAAGGCAGAGGAGGCGAGAGGGGCGCGGCGACGAAGCTCGCGTCTGTGGGGGGATTTTGGAGAGAGGCGGGAACGTGGAGAGAAAAGCGGGAAAGGGAAAGACGGACAAGGGAGGAGTGGAATTGTGAATGGAGAAAGGGAAGGTAAAAATAAAGCCCTAAAGAGGAAGGACAGAGCAGTGCCCCCTGAACCCCATCCTTACTCCCGCGAGGGCGCACGCCTAGCCCCCCCGGCCCCCACCTCTGCTCCAGCGGTTGGAAGACGCTCAGTCGCCCTCGCATCTCTTTAGAGGGCAATCCTGGTCTCCAAGTCATGCAACTACATCCCTGCTAGTTCATCTTGCGCTTGAAATGGGCTCCAGAGTCCGTGACAGGAATCAGGTCTTCTCTTCTGCGCCCCCCTTCTGCCCCCGATGCTCTCGAAGTTCTCCCAGGCCCCTGCAAAGGCGCAGACCCCGAGCGCCGGCTCAGCCAGTGGAAGAAAAGCTTTAAAAACCGAGAGGGAGGGTCGTGGCAGGTCGCTACCAGGGTGACAGAGGCGTTTGCGCTGAGCAATAAATTCGCCGATTAATGGGTGTATGAATTGTTTTAAATAAGATGAGGGGAGATAAGTGATGACTCAACTATCTTGCTTCCTTAATACTCCTAGGGCCAGGCATTATAATTTTTCATTTATTTTATAAAATCACTTATTACTGTGTCAGCTACGCTATTAGGAACCTTAGAAACTTTGGCAACTGATGATTCTTTTTGCAAACACGTTTTCAAGCTTTGGGAGGTTAAAGGCGTTTGACAGTAAGCAAGGAACTTAGCAGTACACAACGTGGAGTGGAAACGGCCCTGTGCCCCGTTCTTAGGGGTGCAATAGCCTCAAGCGGATTTCCCGGCTTCTGTGGGCGCCGCACATTGTTTTATTTGTTTTGAAGGCTCAGAGTTTGAGGCTGGTCGGAGACACCCACGTGCTTCTGACTCTCATCAGCGTAATGATCGCCTTAGCCAGAGTCGTGTCTATATAAACCACAAAAACCTAATCATTAGAAATCCCAGCCTCCAAAAACCACATTTTAGGTAAAACTGCCGCTTTTTTTCCGCGCTCCTTCATCCTCTCGACCACAACTTTTTGGGGGGATCCAAAGTCGCTTTTTTAACCCACGTTGGGAAATAAATACATAAATAAATAGCCATTGAATCATTTTGAATATTTTATTTTGTATTTTTATTCCCCCCCCCCGGGAGTGGTGGGGAAGAAAGTTAAGACATTAGACTTAGTTTTAGATGCAGAATAGACTTAATAAAAGATTGAAATTCATGGAAGACTGCTGGGGTTTTTCCCCAGCAAGGTTTTTGCAACTTATTTTAATCATCAAGCCGACAGTTTTCCAGTCCTTAAAAAAACTCATCCTTGTTCTCTAGGAACGACAAGTTTGAATATAGACGACAAAAGTGTCCAGCCACCCACTTGAGTTTCTAAAAACTATTTTGACAAGTGCTCCCTCCACCCCAATTTTTTGTGTCACTTAAGACAAAAAAAGCACCCAAACCCTGCAAAATCTTTTTTTCCCCGGGAGCCGCTCGGGCAGAGGTGGGGGTGGGGTGGGGGAAGGGTGAAGAGTACTGAGAAGTCAGCACAGACGCTCAAGAATTTTCCTTCCTCCTCTCCTGAAGTTACAACGAAAAATAACGACAGTCAGATCAGCCGGCGGCTCTCTGGCGTCTCAGCTTCAACCTCATCCGACCAAGAGGGGGTTCCTTGTCCTGGGGGGAGGGGGGAGAAGCAAGAGGACGCAACCAGGCGAGATTCCCCCTAGACCGGGGCCGCCTCTCTCGGCTTCGGAAGCTGCGCGCGGCGTCCGGGGGGCTCCTTCTCGCGGCCGGCGGGCGGCGGCAGCGGCTGCGATTCGCAGGCTCGAGATCCGTTGCCCCAAGATCCGCTGCCCGCGACTTACCTCTGGGCACCTCGAAGCGCGAGGATCAGGGGAGCTTTGCAAAGAGCAGGAGGGAGTGGATGCAAGGAGGTGGCGGTGAGAGAGCGAGAAGAAGAGAAGGGAAAGGAAGGAGCCGAGCCCGGGGGCCGGGCTGGCAGCCGCCGCGGGAGGAATCTGAGCGTGCAGCCGGCGCGGGGGGAGCGGCGGCCGCCGCGGAGG